CTGCGGTGAGGCGAGCTGCGCGCGCTTCCCGAGCCCTGGAGCCCGGGCTGTGCTGTGCGGACGCGCCCTGTGCCGCGGCGCTTTCTCTTGAGCTCGGCAGGCAGGCGCTTACCCCGCTGAGCCCCCCGCCCGCCCCTGAACTTTCTCCATCAGTTTTCTGAGGAAGCCCAGGGAGGACCTGAGCCCTTGGGCGTCTAAAACGTGACTCCTTCTCAAGAAATTCGTTGGCAAACGGGAGCGGCTCCGACCCATCTTATCTCTCTAACTCGCGCGTGCGGTATCGTTCCTAGTCCGCGCTGTCTTTGACCCAGTCGCGCGGTTACGCCTTTTATCTTTCAGGTTAGTTAAGGGTCATATACTTTTATGCAGCTGTTCAGAGCGCCTGCTTGAATACACGGGAACGCTTGTCTCTGACGTAAAAACGGTGTGCTGCATTTTTTTTCCTGTTAATTTGGGTACAGAAAGGGATTATTACTATCATCCCTTCTCATCTGACTGAAATAAAACGGAAGGGATCCAACTCAGTCCAACTAGGAAAGTGCAACAAGTTAGGATTTTGAGCCAGTAGGAGTGTAACAGAGCATTCTGACAATGAAAATATAACTCGATATGAACACATCCTTTACAGTCAAGGTACTGTGGTTAAGACCAGTTAGACATTTCCGACCATAGTTGATTTCACGCCGCTATCTTCATCTTAGCCGAACAGTTACCAGTCATGCTGATTAACCCGATTTTTTAAGCCGAGGTCCATCCTTTGACAAGGCAAATCTGGACGGTACTGGCAAAATCGTCTTTCCTTTGCCATTACAAAGTTGTTTCTTTACAAAGATGAGTATGGTGGTTATGCCTTATTTTAAAATTACAGTATTAATTTAATCACAACCAAACGAAAGTGTTGTTGGACCCAGGTACGTATAAGCGCACACATACAGTATGTACACGAAACTATGTTGGAATAACTCCCAACTCACTGCCTTAGTGTGCTATCAAAGTGCTGGAGGGTTAGGATACTAAGTGCACACGCTCAGCACACAGCTCTTTCTTAGGTACTCATAGCCCAGTCTCACTTAACTAGTGTAATCCTGATGAAAACCTGACTGAAGTGTGCCGGTGTAGTAAAAGTAGCACAAGCCCACGTTTCTGTAATTACATCCACAGACAGATCATCGTTTCATTTTAGAGCATCATTACTGTAAATAAAAGCAGATGGTGTGAGAACACGAGTCCATGGGAAAATCACCTGAGAGCCTGGTTAGGTGCAGACAGCCAAATCTCCACCCCACCGGGCCACTCAGAAGCTCCAGGGGGACGGAGCTGCCCACAAACACTGCCCAAAGGACTGCTGTGGGGGTTTATTGGTGGAGAAGCTGCTCGGGTCAACACACCCTGGAAAGAATTCTTTCACATTTAACCAATATTACCTGCATTACCAAACCTACTGCACTTTTTTTTAATGGAGGCTCCATTACCTTAAATAATACATACTATGTATTACACCAAATACTGTGAAATTCAGATTACTTTATGTAAAAATTTTGTATCACTTGTAATTTTTGTTTTAATTCTAATTTGTTATCTTTTTGAAAAAAAATGAAAAGAAAAATAATACAAGCAGGCCCAGTGCCTTTATTTTTAATAATACATGGGGTGTGTGTGTGTGTGTGTGTGGCAATAGAGACTGAACCCAGGGATTTCACACCAAGCTGCATTCTACACTTTTAAAAAAGATTTTAAAATAGTGTCTCCGTTCCAGCCTTGGACTCACGAGCTTTCTGTCTTAG